CAATACTTAAAATGCAAAGTGTAGCTTCTCTGATCTGAGAGCAGTTTAAAAGCAGCAGCAGCAGCAGCAGCAGCAGCAGCAGTTTGAAGCAGGTGGACGGTTTCTTTACGTGGAAAAGAGTAAAAGTGTGAGCGCTCCTGAGGCCTTTCACTGCAGGCTAATGAAGGCTGCCAACTGCTTCAGTCCTCATCGCAGCTCTAAATAATCATCATATTCAGCTCTTTTATTTCATCTGAACTAATTAAAGTGATGAAATCTGGAGCAATATCCTGCTTTTAAAATGTTCCAGGCACTGTGAAGCTTTTGGCAAAAGGAAATTAGTGGTAGAAAAAGCTGATGATGAAAAGGTAGAGATGTAGGCAGTAACACAGCTGGCAGGGTTCACCGAGCGGAGGAAGGCTGCAGGAGAGTCCAAATAAAATGAAAACCACACTGAATGGGGATTACTGTGACTGTGGTCAGACATCATTCAACTAACTGTGTCCATTATTTTCATTATTAATTAATCTGTTTTATTTCATCTCACTTTCTTAATTAATTACTTGCCTGGTCTCTCATTTATTAGAATCCCTATTAGCTGTAGCCAAATCAGCAGCTTTTCTTCCTGGGGTCCACACCAAACACAATATTCTATACGTGACAGAGCATAAAATGTCAGAAAATTCAAGTACTAATTGAAAACTGAACTAACTTTACCTAAAGGATCTAAATATTTCTTCCAGTAGTGCAGTGTTGTATAATATCTAAAAATAAAATACGCCCTTAAACCATCATTTGTGCATCTTAAGAAATGTAGGGACATGCATGTATTTTTTAAGTGATCTTGCTTTAAAGGTCCAGTGTGTAGGATTTAGGGGGGTGTATTGGCAGAAATGGAATATAATAAAGTAGGTTGGGAGGAAGGGATGAACAGGTGGTGGATGCGTTCAACAACCATCAACTTTCACCCTGCAGGCCGGTGTTTGCTTCCTGTAAGATTGTAAACCCTGTTCTTTTGTCCTAAACCCAACCAGGTGTGTGCTGCTAAATTTAACCCTGTGTGCTGTTGAAGGAAAAAAAGTTAATTTGCGATGTACAGACGTAGTGCATTTATTTTGAAAGAGACTTTATGCAAACTGTTCATTTCCTCTGAAAACAGAGGTGTATTTTCAAAACACACAATGCATGTAACAGGCAGAAGTTGACACAGAATGTCCCAGAATGTCAGTAACCAGCACAACCAGGGTTCCTTGGACATCATATCTCAATGAGGAAAGTCCATGACCAAACGCCAATATGTGACAAGGTCGTAGTAAGAATGTGTTGGGAGATCATCATGTTTCACTGTCATGTTTCTACAGTAGCCCAGAACTGACAAACCAAAGTTTGACCCTAAGGTCATTTGCATTTTCTCGCTCTTTAGTTGGCCACTGTAGTCAGCAGACACTTTACAATGACCAGTGTTGCAAAAACACTGATGTTTTGATGTAAAACTGCTTTATTCAGTGTTTTTCCTGGATTAAATCAGCAGGTCCCTTTGTTATTAACAGGAGTCTGCAAATAATTCGGCTCCAAATAAAAACCTACTGAACGTCTGTATCAGAAATAGAGTAAGCACACATTTGGTTATCAGAGAAAATAGGTGTGCAGGTGCTGGGCTAGCGGGCCCTCTGCAATGGATTGAACAGCATAAGAGAAACACTAATTTGTAATGTGACACTGATTTTTTTCAGTGTTTTTAGAGTGTCTTCATTAATAATTAATTAATTAATAAAATTCTGTAGGGAGTCCACACTAAATTATATGTACATATGAGGAAATGTACGTATGCAAAAAAATGTTCTTATTTATAAAACCATGCGTATGCCAGCCAGTGCGCAATTTCCTTTTGTAAATCCAACATCAACTTGGAATTTTCCACACATGGATCAGCCTCATGTCACACCCTCTACACGCCTATATTTAACCATAAATAGTCAATGCAAAGCACCTCATGAATGTTGATGCATAGCCTGCTGATTGTTTTTTTTATGATGATAAGTGGGAACAACCAAGAGGAAGACCAAGAAAACATTTTTTCCTGACACAGAAACTGAGGTGCTTTTAGCTAAGGTTAAGATTAGAGAGCACTCATTGTTTGGTGGCCAGTGGGGTCATAAACAAAAGAAAAGGCAGTGAGTGGCAACATGTTGCTGCCTTGGTTAATGCAGTGAGTTCATCAAACAGGAGAGTACCTGAAATCTAACAAAAAAAAAAAAAAAGTAGTCAGATGATCTAAAGGTGAAAGCAAGAAAAAAACAAAACAAGGATTGCTAATTTACACAATCCATAAATGCAGGTGGTAAAGTTGTGCTGAGTGAGGTGACTGGAGAAGCGCAGTGTGTATGGCAGCCTCTGTGGGGTCTCCAGTGCACTCTCTGTGCCTGACAGCACAGTTATGGCCGCTGCAGCGATTTTCCACACAAACACTATCTGAAAACTAAAATTGTACTCAGTGATATGCACAGTATTGGAAAATATTACTGAAAAAAGTTGACGCTGTGTTTTACTATTCTCTAATGCTGTCTGATCTTATCTTGGAGTTTTACAACCATCAACGTTTATTTAATCAGTTATCCTGGTTAACGTGGTTGAGGCAAAAATGACTCAGTATATTCATGTTTACTATTAAGAAAAGGAAAGCTAGACTTTCCTGAATCCTGCCACCTGCCACAGCATGGCATCATTCAGCTGTGCATGGTGTGCTCCACAGCCGACCATGAGTGTCAGCAGCATACAGTCCAGCCTCCACCCTCTCCTTTTCTCTGGAGTTGGGGTAGATGATAGTGAGGCAGTGCTGATGAAATTTTGAGCAGCATTTGATCTGAGATTTGAGTTGACTAATATATTTTACATTCGAAAGGTGCTTTTGAAATACATATGACTCGCTAGCAGAAGCACATACAGTACAACACTGCTACATTTCAATGTGTATGAAGTAAATGGATAAGAAACAGTGACATGAGGTGAATTTAAATGTGTGAGAGGCATCATTATGTATAATGATTCCTCATTTAATTTCCACAATCTGGCTTCAATTCACCACCTCACCATCTGCGTTGCCAATTTCCCCTGTCTCTAAAATATACACTGCATCGGTCAGAGTTGCCCTTAATTTACGCACATTTCCTCTTCAAGTTTTTTATTTTCTATTTCAAATAAATCCCAATTTATGCTTTGAAAGTGAAAAAAACATTTCAAGCCTGTTCGTTTGTGTATAAACAGCAGTTAAAAATTAGGCCCCTGCTTTGTTTGCTTTGGAGAGGAAGAGACCTCTGCGGATACTACAGTTCCCAGTAAAAAAAAAAACTTGAACAATGAACTCTGAAGGAATTCTAACCAGGAGAAGTTTAAACTGGTTGCAATCAGCAATCCTCACCACTCAACACCACCAAATCTCCCTCAATCTGACACACTGGACCTTTAAAGTTTTAAACAGTCACATTTATCTTTATTTAACTTTCTTGTGGTTTGATATTAAATCCACTTCTGCTCCAACTGTCATTGATTCATTGATCAGGATCACATTATCATTAATAGGCTACAGCATGTAAAAAAAAAAATAGTATATGTAACTGGAGGGTGCTGGGGTCAGAGAGTGGGAAGGTGCAGCAGAAGGATAAAATTCTGACAGTTAGTATGTTTACATGCACAGTTGAGTCGAGCTATGGTTATAGCTATGGTTATAGCTCGACTAGGCCATTTAATCGGACAACTGTCTTTGTCCCAGTATACAAGCATGTCAGGGGAATTTAGATTTATTGGACGAAGTACCGTAAAACTTTTAATTAATAGCCCAGGCTATTATTGGCTTAAATCACTGAACTCAACAGGCCTATGTCAGCTTCAGAGGTACCCACAACAAGGTCACCACTTGCTCAGTAAATGCCCCCTTTCAGCTTGTTACCTTTTCCTGGTTGACCTATTACATCACAGACCAAACAGTCGAGTTTCATCCAGCTGTTCTGACACTTTCTTGAACAGACTGCCACTCAGTGTTTTCCTCCCATCCATGTATTTTAAAATATTGAACTTTCAGCTGACACAGCATGTACTGTGTCGCTACATCTGTCCAAAACTGCATAGCTCTGGATGCAGATTTTGCCATGTTGTTACTGGCTTCTTCTTCTGTTAAGCATTTAATACTATTCATCTTCAGAGTCAAAGCCAGGAGCAGCAACTGTGGAGCATGCACAGAGTGCCTAGGCTAGTTTGGGTCAGATTAACTGTATACATGCAGAAGTAATTCGACTCCCAATCACATTATCGGGTGTGTTGATCCAACTTTGAGAAATTTGATTTAGTATGAGTTCAGTCAGACTAACATGTTAATATAGATTTTAAAAAGCTGGTTTTAGTAAATCAATCGATTTTCTCTAATGTCATGTAAATGTAGGCTACTGACTGTGTCCTAACAAACCCCAACAATTCACTGACTCTGCAGACATTCACTTAACACAACAGTCATAACTTTTATCAAGTAAACCTCATGTTCAGTCGGTTTTCATGACAGTGTGCACAGCTCTTCAGTGTTACCCAGCTTCCTTTGCACCCCTGAAAAGTTGTGCTGCAGACACAGAGGATGTTCGTGATCCTACAGACACATCTGCATGAACTTCTCTCACCTTCACCATCATTTTGTCCAGCAATCGGTACTCGACTCGAGTGTTTTGATTTCTGTCAGACTTTAGATCTGATTTGCTTGTTTTGCCCCGAAAGATTAAAGGTAGCCGTGCGGAGTGGGTCCTGTCCGGGTCCCAGCCTCCAGGGAGGGCATCCCAGCTCTCCATAGCGCCGCCCTCCCTCTCCCTCTCCCTCAGCCCGGCTTCCTCTCCTCCAAACGGCGCTCACAGCAGCGACCCTGACAGCCGCCTATTAGCCGCGCCTCTCCCGCTGCTCAGACACACCGCTCCGCCGGCTATTCGCTCAGTCTGTTCTACCAGTTTCTGTCTTTTGACAACCGCTGTCTGCTGAGGGGATTATTTTGTTCGTGTCGGAGTTTTTTTTCGGTGCATGGATGGAGTCGTCCCCGCAGGATTCGACGAGCGACCCGGGCAGAAGCGGCTCAGAGCCCGCTACGCCGCTCACGGAGACGCCGGTGAGCCTGGAGACTCTGCGGGGCGGAGAGCACCTGACTCCGGCTAGGAGACACAGCAGCACCGGCTCCTGCTCCTCCGGCTATAGCAAAGGTATGACTTCTGCTGGGTTTTATTTTGATATTATTTGAATCCCAGTTGGCACCCAGGCGGTGATTGTGTCTGTCAGGCTGCAGCAGCAACTTCAAACGGTTTGTGTCAGACAGACGCTGCTGCGCTGTCTTACAACACACACGCTCAAACCTCCACACACTCATCATAGACTCATTCGCGGCTTTGTGACCTTTATGCAGTAGTTTGTGAAGCCGCAGGCGGTCAGTTGAAGCCGGTCATGAGAGAGCTGACAGCTGACTTCAGCTGGAGGAACATATGAATTGTTTCACTTAACTTCAACTCTGCATGAGTGGAGTGGAGGAACTTGACTGGTCTGCACAGAGTCCTGACCTCATCCCCACCCAACACTTTCAGGATGAAATAAAACTCGAGCTGCAACTCAGTTGATTAGTCGATTGGTGGATCAGCCAGAAAATGAATTGGCAGCTATTATGATAATCAATGTGATATTTCATGCAAAAATGCAAAAATATTTTACATGTCGAGCTTCTTAAACATTATGATTTCATGGTTTCTATGTCTTATATGATAGTAAACTTAACATCTTTGGGTTTTGGATTGTTGAGCACAGACATCACCTCGGCTCTGGGAAATTATGGGAAATGAGTGTTTTTCACTACTTTCTGGCATTTTTATAGACAGAATGATTAGCCTAATTGAGAGAAATCACATAACACTATCAGGTAAGTGTTTTCATTCTGCTGTTTGTTTTTTTTTTGTTTTGTTTTTTTGTTGTTTTTTTGTTTTTTTGCACATATCCAGTTTTTGCTTAACCAGAGTGAAAACACTGGAGGTTGGAGTTAAAATATTTCTTAAAAAGAGTTTGCTGTGTGAGGTGCAAAAGTTATTGAGTGGATAAAGAAGCACAGACAGACTGAGTGAGTAAATGATGACACACACCTACACGAAGCACATAAAGGTGAAGCAACCCTGTTGCCAAAAGAAAATGTTGTAAGTTTCTGCAAACCATGAAAATGTTACATTTATCAGTGTTGCTAAAGGGACATAGTATACAAGATGATTTTATCATCAGGAGGTGGAGGGGATGGTGGATAGCATGATGCTGAGGTGAGGCCTGCTCAGCTGCAAACTACTGTATGTTTACGCGGGTGTTTAAATGTTTGAGCGATTGAGTTGATGAGGAGCTGAAAGCTGTGACTGTCTTGACTTGCAAAATTCTATATTAAAGGTCCAGTGTGTAGGATTTAAGAGTGACATACTGGCCAGAATGGAATATAAAGTAAGTTTTTTAGTGTATAATCACCAGAAAATAAGAATTGTTGTGTTTACGTTACCTTAGAATGAGCTGTTTATGTCTACATAGGGAGCGGGTTTTCCTCTATGGGGACCACCATGTCATGTTTCTACAATAGCCAAGAACAGACAAACCAAACATGCTCTAAAAAGGGTGTTGTCAGGCATAGTAAGAAGCCCCTCCGCAACAAACAGTGTCAGAAAAACACAAATTAAAAAAAAAAAAAAAAACCTTGCTGCTTCCGTCTGTCATATGTGACAGTAAGTAAAAGACTTTTAGTTTTGGACTGTTGGTCTGATAAGTCAACTGAAGACATCACCTTTGTCTTTTTTTCAACATTTCATCGACTTAACAATTAATCGATAATGAAAAAACTGTTGCAGCCCTGCTCTGCTGAAAGCACAAGTACAGATCTAATTTGTTTGTTCAGAAACAGTCACTCAAACACATAATTAATACCAATGAGGGAAGTGCAGTTAACTCCATGTCTCGTGTGTGCAGCTCTCAGGCCTCCCTGTTGGTATGCAGCCTGGAGAGAGAGAGAGAGAGAGGCGGACAGATAGAGCTTCATTGAGTTTCTCTGTGCAGAGTCGTTTGTTACATAACAGCTGTTCAAGGAGAAGGAGAGGAAAAATCTCAGTGAGTGTTTGAGCCGCAAGGAAGCAGATTGTGTGACTCTGATTCTGAGACGCTCAGTCAAAGCAGAGAGCCGCGAGGAGCCAAGGCACGAGTAAATAATTTGAGATAAATAAAACTAACCTCCCAGGGAGAGATCAGCAGGTCAGATGCTGCATTTAAGTGCGCGATGTCAACTCATAGAGCTGTTTTAAGTGTCAGATCAGCCCCTGGTTGTCTGCTGTTAGACGAGGATGACCCACACAGTCGTCAGATCTTACTCAACTCACAGAAGACCAAAGATACACCCTGACAAATTCACCATCAGTCATGCAGTCTCCTCACACATTTGGATTGTTATCACTCGATTAAGTGGGTGTTATTAGTGTTTATCAGCCTCATAGATATGAGTTAACAGAGTGACACTGACTAGTAGGTTCAGAATGGCGTTATCAGTCCCTAATAGCATGTCCACTCTCAGAAAACAGTAATTTGCCTTGGTGTTTGGTGCATACAAGTACTGCAAATATCGAGAATCATGAATACACAATAGAAATTTACAATAAAAATGTAAATAAACATCAAATTTTGTAAAATATATCTTTTCTTAAAATGAAAGAGCTGTACAGTGTCTCATGTGAGGTGTGATGGTGAGTTTGTCCAACTACAGTAAAAATATCTGTGTATTTTGTTCCAGCTGACTGACAGCAAACTTGACCTCTCTCCACCAGGAGGTCAAAAGTCAGATTGTAAAGACGGTTTGAGGAGTCTGAGGTTAAAGCTCTGAATGTGTTTACTGTTTTAAAAAGAGTCAGCAGTGTATCAAATGTTCAATCAGCATAAAGACAACAAAACAATTCCAGGAAAATCAAATGTTCTCTGGGTGACACAATCTTTGAAATAAGATCAACTCCTGTTAAAACAAATAAGAAGTGCATTTGTATCATTATGTTGCATGATGGTGTTTTAATTTGTTGAATAAGTGAGAAGTTGAAATGTATGACAGAGTGAGTAATTTCCCAGACTGTCAGCTCACTCATGCGCTCTTAGCTGGCAGTGGTGCTGTTTCTGTCAGCACCCGTAGGCAGCAGGCATATTATGTAAGAGGTGACGGGTTAGAAGGGCACAGAGCACACAGTGTGTGAGAGTGACAGCCTTGAGAACAGACCTGTGATCAGCTTTAAGGCTGGAATCGCTAACTAACCTGCTGACCCACATTCCTGTTGCCTGCAGGAGAACAGCAGCAGACTGCGGGAAACTTTAGTAAAAAAAAAAAAAAAAGAAATATCATAAAGAGATGACCTACGTGTGCACCGCTCTGGGATAAAAAAAACAAACAAACAAATATTTGTTTCTATCATGCAATATGTTTTACATGTTTTTCCACATCCTGTGATCACATGGTTCTAACAGCATCCAGGTTTCCAACCAGCTTTAAAAGGACAATTTGCTACCTTTTATGTGGATGAGTACATTTGTTGATGGTAGATGTAGTTGATTTAAGCAATATATTCCTCAGTGCGTGCTATATTGACTAAGAAAGTTCTCCTGCTCGTGGAGCCGTGCGCCGCCAGCCATATCTTATGCCGCTGCATTTCTTCGTCTGTAATGTTATACTGGCACGAATAAATATGGCTGACTATCCAAGGCAGCCAAAACACTGTAAAATGTATCCTTGTTCATCAGCACCAGCACCTTTTGCACTGATATTTTGGTATGGCATCTTCACTGTAGGGCTGCACGATTCTGGAAAAAATGAGAATCACGATTTTTTGGCTTAGAATTGAGATCACGATTCTCTCACGATTTTTTTCAACATGAAGATTTATTGTGCTTATTTCCTGATACAAAAGGAAAAGTAACAAAAATTATAAATCAATAATAAAAAAAATATCATTAAATAACAAAACCTATGATTGTGCCTGATACAAGAGACACAACTCTCTGGTCAGCAGAGAGGGAACATTCCTGTTTTTAGCTTAAATGCAACAGCTGACAGCCTGACACTGACCGTAAAAACAATAAACTTTAGTCTCTTGTCTTCTCTTACAGCTTTTGAACAATTTTAACAATAATATCAATGTTGAACAACATTTTTCTGAGGTAGGTATTCCAGGCCTGGAATTAAGTCATTTTTAGGGCAAGGCCACTTTGGCCTTTGATAAATACAAATTTGTCGGGGCATCACGGCCAACATGTGGCAAGATACTTTCCAAAATGTTTAGAATTTTCAAAAATGTGCAAAATGTCCTTCTCCGCAAAAAATCCCAAAAAATGTCCTCACTTTTTAATAGTTTCCCTATTTTCAAAAATGACCACACTGGGCTCTAGTTTCGCAGACCGGGCGCGGCGGAGGCGCAGCGCACCTCCGCTTCGCCAACTGGGTGTGGCCAGGCGGATTTTGTAAGTTTGGCACACCGTGCGCCCTGGCGCAGCTACTCCTCTATCCCACCTCCGTCCCTCCTACCGGCGCAAGTCGGAAAGAGGGAGGAGAGAAGGCGTGGAGTGGGTTTTACACACATCACACCAATCAAATGGGCCCCTCTCCTCGCCCTTAAATGTGCTGCGTGAAGACATAATGAGAGTTTACTCAATGCGCCATGGCGGAAGAGAGCAGCAGCGTCAGACGGCCAAACTTCTCCCAGGAGGAAACTGATGTTTTGGTCCGGGAGGTCCAAGCTCGCAGTGTCCGAATATATGGAACTGCGAGCAGACCTCCACGGGCTGATGATGCAATCAATGTTGTGTTTCTCTCGTGCGCGCTCTCTCTCTTTCTCTCTCGCAGTCTCACTCGGTTTCTTTTCTTTTGACTTTTCTAAGATGACAGTTGCTGAATATATACTCCCTATCTGATGCTGTGGCTGTTTGTGGTTGGCTGAGAGGGATGTGAACTCATTAGTTTGCAGGCTGTGTTAATCAAATCAGGTTGGGTTTCCATTACGCGTGCCAAACGTACCAAACGGTGCCAATCCCCTTTGATCTGACATCAGATGTGACAGGACAGTCAATATAGAGATACATTTATGTGCTGATTGCAGATAGTTGCATTGAATAGTGTTTTTTTTGGGTATTTATTGCATTGTTAATGTGCCTGATATTCTGGAAACCT